TCTGCAAATGAGGAAGAGCAGCATCCTGAGCATGAGGGTCACATAAAGCCTGTCATGTATTTCTACCTGACCAGCGGAGGCTGCCAAAACCCAAGAACTAATCAAATAATCAGCCACAGAGTTGTGATGAAATAATTAGACAGATGTGATTCATAGCCAAGTGTTTTAAGTAGCTGGCCATATCAGGCTTTTACAGGATGCTGAAAAGTAGAGCTATAATGCAAAGCAGAGTAAAAGCTACCTGACCAGTGTTTTAGATAGAATTAGTAATCCAAGAGGGGATAAAAGATGGACAGGCAATTGTTGGTGAAATTATTATTATTATTTATTATTATTATTATTATTATTATTATTATTATTAATTTTGGTTTTTCAAAACAGGGTTTCTCTGTGTAGCTTTGCTCCTTTCCTGGAACTCACTTGGTAACCCAAGCTGGCCTCGAACTCACAGAGATTCTCCTACCTCTGCCTCCTGAGTGCTGGGATTAAAGGCATGCGCCACCACCACCCGGCCTGTTGGTGAAATTATTAAGACCACTCCACGTAGATAAAAGGGAGGTTTATTTAGTGGCGTAACTGACAAGTGAAGAGATAGGTAGGTTCCAGGGTCTGAGGAAGGTATGTTCACTCCGACAGTGTTCTCTGGAGAACTCTGCTCAGTCTACCTTCGGGGTCCAGGAACCAAGAGAGCCAGCACATCCAGATCTCAGTCTTCAGGGTCCTCTCTTGGCCCAGCCTTGTAGGCATGACATTTACCGAAGCCTCAATGGGAATTAGAACTTTCAGATCAAGGTTGGAATGGCTACCCACTACAGGCAATGCTCAGAGATAATGACACTGAGCATACTCAGGCCTGCAGTATAGGGAGAGACACACAGGAAATGAATCTAGAGATGAAGAAAAGGTGATGGCAAGTTTATATAATGAGACCATATGAGGTGGAAGTCAGCCATTGATCATTTTTAGACATAGAAGACACCCTTGTCTATGCAGAATCACAGTAGCAGAAAACAGTCCATTTGTTGAAGTTGCTTTCTTTTTTCCATTGGATAGTTTTGGCTTCATCAAAAATCAGGTGTTCATAGGTGTGTGGTTAATATCAAGGTCTTCAATTTGATTCCATTGGTCCACATGTCGATTTTTATGTCAATACCAAGTTATTTTTATTACTATAGCTCTATAGTAGAGCTTGAGATCAGGGATAGTGATGCTTCCAGAGGTGGCTTTATTGTACAGGATTGTTTCTAGCTATCTGGGTTTTTTGTTTTTACATATGTAGGTGAGTATTTTTCTTTCCAATTCTGTAAAGAATTGTGTTGGGATTTTGTGTTAGGATTGCACTGATTCTGCAGATTGCTTTTCATAAAATTACCGTTTTTACTATGTTAATTCTACCTATCCATGAGCATGGGAGATCTTCCCAATTTTTTGATAGCTTCTTCAGTTTCTCTCTTCAGAGACTTAAAGTTTTTGTCATACAGTTTTTTCACTTGCTTAGTTAAAGTTACCCCAAGGTATTTTATATTATTTGTGGCTATTGTAAAGTGGGTGTTTCTCTACTTTCTTTCTCAGCCCATTAATCCTTTGTATTTGGGAGGGCTAATGATTTTTTTTAGTTAATCTTGTATCCTGCCATATCACTGAAGGTGTTTATCAGCTGTAGGAGTTTCCCTGGTAAAATTTTTGCAGTAACATGTGTATTATCATATCATCTCCAAATAGTAAAAGTTTAACTTCCTCTTTTCTTACATCTGTCAGAATGGCTAAGATCAAAACCACTGATAACAGCTTATGTTGGAGAAGATGTGGAGCAAAATGACCACTCCTCCACTATTGGTGGAAGTGAAAACTTGTACAGTCACTTTGGAAATCAGTATGGCATATTTTTAGAAAATAGGGTATCAATCTTCCTCAAGACCCAGCTATGACATTCTTGGGCATATATCCAAGGAATACTCAATCATACCACAAGGACACATGTTCTACTATGTTCATAGCAGCATTATTCATAATAGCCAGAACCTGGAAACAAACTAAATGGCCCTCAACTGAAAAACAGATAAAGAAAATATGGCACATATACACAATGGACTACTACTCAGCAGTAAAAAATAATGACATCATGAAATTCACACGCAAATGGATGGAACTAGAAAATATGATTCTGAGTAAGGTAACCCATACTCAGAAGGACAAACATGGTATGTACTCACTCATAAGTAGATACTAGATGTAAAGTGAAAAATAACCAGACTACAACCCATCACTCCAAAGGAGCTAGCTAAAAAGGAGAACCCTAAAAGGGATGCATGGATTGCCCTGGGAAGGGGAAATAGATGAGATCTTCTAAACTGGGGGTGGTGGGAGGCAATAGAGCATAGGAGATGGGGGATGAGAACATAAGGAAACAGGATGGTCAAGCTAGAATAGGGAGAGAGTGGGAGAGCAAGGAAAGAGATGCCTTGATAAAGGGAGACATCATGGGAACAGAGAAAAACAGAGTGCTAGGGAAGTTCCCAAGAATTCACAAGGATGACTCCACCTTAGACTACTAGCAATAGTGGAGAGGGTGGCTGAACTGGCCTACTCCAGTAATCAGATTGGTGAATACCCTAA